TTTAAAAATGAATGCCCCTCTTGCTTTATTCATAATATCTTTTAAAATTAAATATGTAAATATACAGAAATTTTATATTAGAATATGTAAAAAAAATTTAATAATCAACAAAAGGTACTAAATCCTAAGCATACAAATTATTACTTAGAAATTCTCATTCTATTCATGTCTTCAATTTATTCTCGTATTCAAAATACATACTGATCAAATATTTCAAGTATTTTATTAAGTATTCAAATAAATCTTCATTCATATTAAACATAAAATATGCATTAATAATATTTTCGATTAAAAATATTATTAATACATATTTTATGTATTTATTTTTGATTTTAAAAAATCTAAATCAAATCCAAAGAATAATATTAACATTAAAAATGCATCGAACTGATGATCTTAATGGTGTGTACATAATTTGGTCTTAAATCTAAAAAAAATAAAACTAAGAATCAAAAAACCTATGAACTTTTTTAATGAACTGATAAGAAAAATAGCTTAGATTTAAAGGACATAATATTATTGTTGTAATATTAAAGGACTTTTACAGTTTTTGCTTCTAACAATAAAAAAAAAGAAGAAATTCAATATTTAATACACAAGACTCTTCTTTACATATGTATGTATATATATATATATATATATAAATTATATTTATATATAAATATATTTATTTTTACTACATAAAAATATATTAACTCAAAAATATCCTATAATTTTCTATTTTCTTTCTCTCTTTATTCTTATATATACTTTTATTATTTTATTTTATCCAAAAATTGTTATCTTACAAAATTACAACATAACGAAAATTACAAAAATAAAATACCAAAAAACATATCCTTACAAACATCGAAAAATCTAGAATATATTAGTCAATATCGATTATTAAAATATATTCATGGTAAAAAGAATTCAAAATTTGATGAAATGATGTGGAAATTATTAGAAATGGAATATCAGCAATTTTTAAAGCTTGCAAAAAAAACCATTAAATTTGCTTCGTCACCAGCTGATGTTGAAAAATTCTTTAAGAATTTAAATAAAAATTTTATATTAATTCATAATTCAATTATTTTTCAAAAATACAATAATAATAATGGTACAATAAATAAATTAAAATTAAAATATAATTCTTTAGATCAACTCAATAATATTCAAAATGGGTAAGATATACAATTTTTGTATAATATTTACTTGTATAATATGTATAACATAATAGTGAATATAATATACAAGTATTAATTAAATTTCCATGAAATAAATTTTCATATATTTATATAAATATATATTATGTACATATGTATATAAGATATTGTAAAATTCATATATATAGGTGCTATTTTGATATTAGTTAAATGTATAGCCTACGCTAAAAATTTAATTCAATAATATTTTCAATTAATTTAATATTTTTGTTAATTCTATTAGATTTTAATCAGTGTTGATAAAAATTCTTTTTTTCTTTTTTTTTACATTAATATTTCATATAAATTTTGTGCAGCCAAATTTTAATTAAATTATAGTTATATATAATTTTTGCTTAAAGCTATGCTGAATATTATAATACTAAATATATAATTATATTCGTTAAACAGATCATATATAGTAATTGAATTTAATAATTAAATAAATTCATGTGGTTGCTTACCAAAAGGTAGCATTTTTGATGCATTTTTATGAAATTTTTTGTACTAAAATTAAAATTATGTTCTTAAACATAGGGTAAATATTTATGTACACATACAAACAATATAATTTAATAATAAGTGACTAAACAGTATATTATATTTTATCAGTTCTGACCTTTATTTCTTAACCTGCAATAATTTATTCTTGAAATTATTTTAAACGTGTTTTCAATCTTATAAAGATAATAAATAATTATCAATGAAACTTATAAAATATAGCTTTAGCTGTTGATTTATTTGAATTTATAAAATTTACGATATTACGATAAAAAAGAATAAACATGCTGGAGGTACACTTTTATCTTAAAGTTTATAAAATTTAAATATGTAATATCAACATGAATTTAGGACAACACAAATTTTTCTATTCTTCTTTATAACAAAGGATCAAAAACAAAAAGTTAAAAATATATAAGAAGAATAAAAATAATATAAAAAAAATCGTTAAGACAGAAATCGTAAAAGATAAGTACGTATGATGTTTTAGCATAAAATAAAATTATGCTAATAATTTTATCGTCCACGAAATAACGATGTTTGGGAAAATACCCTTTTGCAACAGAAAAAAAAAATTCAAAATTTTCTCTGGCTTAAATTTTTTAATATTTTATAAAAAAAAATTATTATTTTGTAGAGAAAATTAGTATTCTCCTAAATTTATGCAATTTTTTAAATTATTTTTAATTATAAATTTTAATGGTAATAATTGTAATGCAATCATTATTAATTATAATTATTAATTATAATTTAAATTATTTGCAATAAATTTTATTATAATTTTGTATTAAGGAACCAAGAACTATATCAGTTACTTGAGTCCTCAAAAAAATTCCTCTAGAATAGGCGGGTATTTTAACTTTGAAAAGTTACGTCTTGCTTAAAATCTAACTAAAACTATGGGCACATGTATTCTCAAAACTAACTATTTCGCTAAAATTTTGCATTTAATTTTAATTATTATATTATCTCTCTTAATTATAAAACAATATTTTGTTAACACCTTATTTTTACAAAAGCAAAAAGGTCAACAATAAAAACCAAATTGTTTTTTTTTTGGAATCAAAGAAAAATGAAATAAAATAAAACTTTAATTTTTAAATCAACATTTTTTTTTTTGCGTTAACGAGTTCAAAATACTTATAGAAAAAAAAATTAATGAAAATAAATTCAACACCTACTTCAATTATCTAGACGTTTTTATAATTTGTTTTGGCGGATAAATCCTTTGTCTTATGAATTTTAAATTAAAATTTTTTGTATTATATTTACATATACTCGTACAACTATTTTTTTTATCAATTTTTTTGCTTATTTACAAAATTTCTTTGTTCTTTGAAAATCCTTCTGATTTTTAATAATTTATGAATAAATTTAACTGTTATACATAAAATTAATATTAATCAAAAGGATATTTTTGCGTATTTTATTTTATTACATAATACAAAGAAAATTACTGTAAATAAGGATAAAAGAAAAAATATTGAAAAATAATATTAAAATAATTTTAAAATTAAAAATAATATGTTTTTGAGTGAAACAAGTACAATACTATGTAGATAAGAAATAAAATAATTCTATATAAAAATAATAGAATATTTTATTCTTGAATTAAATTTTCAATAAAATATAATTGAAATAAATTAAAAGTAGAATCAAAGCAAATTGTTAAATTAACATATTAATATTAAAATATTGAGTTAAAATATTGAAAAATTAAGAAAACACAATAGAAATCAAAATTTATAATGCAAAAAATTTTTTCTGGATTTTATAAAATATTAACAAAAACCTATATAAACGAATACTATCAACAAAAAAATCCTGTTTTGCACTATTATATTTTTACATTTAATACAAAAAAAGAAACTATTAAACAAAATTATAATTAGTCTAATTTTATATAATTATATTAGATCTATTTATTAAATAAATATAAATTAGCCTGAAGCTTAAGCTTATTAGCTTAACATTGATCACTAAATATAACAGTTTGCTCAAAATTTTCTTAGCCGAAAATATTAAAAAAATTCTTTAAATTAATTCAATCAAATACCTTTCAATTTAAAAATAGAAGTCTAAGTCAAAATAATATTTAAAGAATCTAAGCATCATTAACAATAAACATAAATATTTTTTACTTTGTATTACTAAATTCGAATTCTTATTTTCTCGAATAATTTATAGAAATGGTCTTAAAATTAAAATATTTAAATTAAAATCACAAATTTGAAATCACTGAATTCGTTTCACTAACTATATTAATTTGACTCCATCTCGTTACTCCTTCGTTACTCAACCGAAATTAAATTCTGTCCATCAAATTTTGTTAGGTTATCTATATAACTTTATTCGCTCTTTCCTTTTAATGCCCTTCGGAGTTGTTTCATATAAATGATCTATTTGTTGGTTTTCAATCAATATGTCAGTATTGACTTTTTGTTGTTCTGTACCTAAAATACAAAAAAAATTGAAGAATTTTAATAAAATGAAAAACTCATCGTTTAAATTAATTTAGTATGTTTTGAATTTTCTAATTATAAATTTTATAGTGATTTTTTTTTTTTTCGGAAATATATATATTTTTGTTATTTTATTAAAGCAACATATTTATATTAAATTCGAATTTTAAGAAAAAATAATAATTAGTAAAAATAACGCACTAAAAATTTTTTTAAATCTAAAGAACGATCACAGTTGAATCAATAAATTCAAAAGATAAACAACAAAATATCGTAGAAACTCACACTATATTTAAAGTACATAAAAAGAATTAATTTAAAATATTTATTTTGTATACAATTGTATTATAGTTATAATGTTATATAGAGCTATATTAATATTATATTCATGTAAAAACAAAAACCAAAATAAAAGCAAGTTGTTTAAACAAAAAAAAATTATTTCTTATATTTTTAATATTTTCCTTGTATAGTAGATTTAAAACTGTCCTATAAAAATTTCTTATTTCTTTCATTTAATAATTTTTTTTTTTGATAAGTCAGCAACACATTATAAATTCACTTTAAAGTATTAATTTTATTAATAAAAAATATAAATAAACATTGAATATAATAAAGTGTCGAAATAAAAAATAAAAATAATTATTTTAAATAATTTAAATTATAAAATAATTAGTTTAATATATAAATTTATTAAATGTACATATTAAATTATATTTATAATTAAAAAAAAAAAATTATTATATATTCGTCCATTGGAATATTAAAAATATATTTATATTAAATTTTTAAATCAAATAATTAAAATTACTAAGATAATTTTTATTTATTTTATTTTCTTTTTCAAAAATAGCGCCATGCCAATCGATCCAATGGATGATATTGAATTACGTTCAGTTCAATTACAATTTCCACATGCTCGTGGTTCAATTTTGGAAGCATGTGAACAAAAACGTGTACCAACAGATAAAGGTGATATATTGGTTGCAATTCAAGGTGATGCATCAAAACCACCAATTATAACTTATCATGATTTGGGTCTTAACTGTAAGTTTAATAATTACATAATATATAGTATATAATGTTTTATATAGATGATTTTCTATTAATTATTTTATTTGAATAAATTTTTAGATGCAACAAGTTTTGCAGGGTTCTTTAATTTCCCAGTTATGCGAGGTTTATTAGAAAATTTCTGTGTTTATCATGTTACAGCACCGGGACAAGAAGAAGGAGCAGCAACACTTCCAGAAGAGTAAGTATTTAATATGAAATTCTTTTTTAATTACGTAATTCCAAACAAATTAGCATATTCGTTTGACTGTAATTGATTCTTCAAATTAATTGTTATCCCAAATCGTCTTGGCGTTTTTTTTAACTAACTTTTCTCAAAAGTGATCAGTCGCAATTTCTCGGATCAATCTCAATATCTTATAATTTATGGATATTTATGTTTTATTTCACTATAACAAAATTTCTCTGTGTATCCTCTTCTTCTTGAATTATTTTTCCTTCGTTAAGCATATACAACTTTTTGGTCTAGTATTTCTTCAGCTCTATAAGCTTCTACGAGCTTCTGCAAACAAGAATATTATAATAATCAATTTCTTTTTTCAAAAGTGTACTCTTATGTCCTACCTTAATTAAGTAGCAATCTAAGTTTTTACATTAAGAATCCTTCTAACTTCCTTCAATAGAATGTCCTTATAATAAATACTAGTTTCATATTTCAATTGAACAAAAGAAAAGCTCTTAATTTACAAACAATAGGTTTAATAATTGAAAATTTCATATTAACATTATAAAATTTTTTAAATATCGACAAATAATCAATTAAATTTTTCTTTCATTTTAGTTATATTTATCCAACAATGGATGAATTAGCTGCCCAATTATTATTTGTAATGTCTCATTTTCAATTAAAAAATATAATTGGTTTTGGTGTTGGTGCTGGTGCAAATATATTGGCACGTTTTGCAATACAAAATCCAGATAAAGTTGGTGCATTATGTTTAATTAATTGTGTATCAACAGCATCTGGTTGGATTGAATGGGGTTATCAAAGTTTTAATGCACGTTATTTACGTACCAAAGGTATGACACAAAGTGTTATTGATTATTTAATGTGGCATCATTTTGGACGTAATCCAGAAGAAAGAAATCATGATTTAGTTCAATTATTTAAAGCACATTTTGAACGTGGTGTTAATCCAAATAATTTGGCAATGTTTATTAATTCATATATACATCGAAGTGATTTAAATATTGCTAGAACACCACCAGGTAATGGACCACAATCGGCTGCAACATTAAAAATGCCCGTTATTAATGTAACTGGAGCATTATCACCACATGTTGATGATACAGTTACATTAAATGGACGTTTAGATCCAACTAATTCAACGTGGATGAAGGTATTAAATAAAAAATAAGAATAAAAATTTACAATTATTTTAAAAATTAAATATTATAATTAAATTTACATTATAATTTTTAGATATCCGATTGTGCAATGGTTCTTGAAGAACAACCTGCTAAATTAGCTGAAGCATTCAGACTTTTCCTTCAAGGCGAAGGATATGGTAAGTTAAATTAGTTTTAGTTTAATTTTAAAAATAACAAAAAAAAAACTAAATGACAAAAAAAATATATATATATGAGAAAAAAATAAACAAATTATTATTATTTTCCAAATTTTTGCAATAATCTTGAAAAAGAAGAAAAAATATCGAAACAAGAAATTAAAAATCTTTTGAACCAAAAAAAGAAATACCATAACAATAGAAAAAAATAATAAAAATTCAAGACTAATTATAACGAAACAGAGAACTTAAATGAACAAAAAAAAAATAACTTTTATATTAAAAATATTAAAAAAAAAAAGACACACAATATATACACAATTTATACATGATTTCAAATATATAAAGAAATCATTTAATTTCAATATTATACACATATATTATAGTCATATTTATATATAAATATAAAACAATAATAACAATTACACTTCATCTATTTTACATTTTACCAAAGAAAACAAGAAATATCGTTCGCATTTATCGCATTTTTTGATAATTAAAAAATATTTAAAACAAAAAACGAAACTAATCAAAGAAAATTAAGTAATTAAATGTTAAATTTGCATATTACATCAAGGCTGTTTTTTTATTGTTATATAATATTAAAAAAAAAAAAAAGAAAAAACAAAAACTAAAAAGAGTTTAAAATTTTTCACAAAATCAGAATGTTAAAAATATTTAAGAAAAATAATAGAATTTTTATATTCCATGTTTTTCATTAATTAAAATACAATATTTTACAATAGATCAAACCTAATTATCAAATTTTGATAATAAACTGTTGTTTATTAATTTCATACTTAAACTATTCTTCTAATATTATATGTAATTACTTATTAGAATCAAAACTATAAAAAAAAAACACAATTTTAAAATTTATGATAATTTCTATAATACATTAAAAATTTCCTACATAATTGTGTTTTAAAATTATTAAAAGGAATTGTTTAAAGCCTTATATTAAAGAAAAATTTACTTTTTCAACGAAACAATATAATCTTCATGTTCCTTATGAATAACTTATAAAATATATTCAACTTACATTATTATAAAACAATTATTTTCAAATTGATTTCGTTTATTTATTAAAATAAATTGAATTTAAAATACAATAACATTTTATTTATATTAAAATAATATGGGCTTACATAAAAATAAGCGCTTCAATTCAAATTTATTAAATATTAAAATATAAACGAAATAAATTTTTTGTTTTCTTTTCCATAAAGATTATTAATAAATTAATTATTGTCTGACATGTGTCAGAAATTTTTCTTATACTTAATAATTAAATTTTATAATAAAAAGAGTTATAATTTTTATGATCAAAAATTTCTTTGAATTCCAATAAAATAAATTGAACAATTTACAAATAATTAAAACTAATAATATAGAAAATAAATTTTTAGTCAACTATATTTCCATAATGCAACAATGTAATAATTAAATCAATTTCTGAAATTTATATTTTAATTAAATTTAAGGACAAATCTATACTGACACCAATTTAACTACGATATTGTTGTATTTTGGAATTTAATTATGTAATTGATTTGGGCTTAATATTATCACAATTAATAAATATGCCAATTTCAAAATTTATTAGCGCATAATTTTTAAAAATACAATAATTAAGGCATTTTTATACTTAGAAATTAAAAAAACAATCAAAAGGCAGCTTTGTATTTGAAAAATTAAATTTTTATTTTACTCATAAATTCTTATATGAGTACAAGAAATTATATAAAAATTCGAATTATCTAGTTATTATGAAAATATTTAAAGAAAAAAACAGGGAAATAATAATAATAACAAAAAAAAAATTAAATTAATTATATTTTAAATTTAAAAAACCAATGCAAAACACTCAAGCAAAAAAAAAAAAATTTTTTTTTATTACAACAAAACACCAAACAGGCGATTTAATTTTGAATTAAAATTATTTAAAATTCAATATTTGAAAAAAAAAACAAATATCTCGAAAAGAATTTTTATTTTTAAAACTAAAATTAAAACAGTAAAACAAAAATACACTCGATACTTTATCAAATTTCAAAAAAGAAAAAAAAGTAATTTGATATTTTTATCACAAAAAGACAACAATTTTTACACGACATTTTCCCATTTCTCATAATTCATTTCAAAATCTCATCATTTTAAAAATTTCATTAATTTCAAAAAATTAAAAAAAAAAAAAAAAACAAAGCGATAATTTAAATTTTTATATGTGTTTCTTTTTTTTACTCTCTAAGTATAATTTTTATTTATTTATTAAATTTTTTCTTTCTGTAAAATAAAAAAAATTCGAAAATATTTCTAAACTTTTATTAAAAGAAACAAAGAAGCAAAGTAATAAATGTTAGGATTAAATTTTATTTGAATTTTTATTTGAAATTATTTGAAAAAATTAGAAATTATTTTTTTAATTTTTTATTTTATTAAATATTAAAACTGTCCGTCTTTTTAAAATTATTTAATAAACACAGTAAAAAATTTATTTTTGTGTGTCAATAAAATGTAAATAATAAAAAAAAAAGTATAGAATATGTGTGTATTTTTCATTGTAATTAGGAAGATTAATGAAACATTTTTGAATCCTATACATCATTTAATAATATTTCGTATCAATTAATAGAATAAGAATAATTATTAATTTAAACAAAAAGAAATCCTTCCACTTACAATAAAATTTCTTAACAACAAAGTATGTACTCCTAGTGCCTAATCTAATTTATTAAACAAATTTTAAAAATACATTTAATTCTTATTTCCTAAATTAATTACATTTTTCTACTTAAAATTTAATGCTCCATTTTGAAAAAAAAAATACTTATGAATTCTTAAATTTTATTGAGTTTCATGACAAACAATTAATACAAAAATAATTTACAAAAAACAAAATTTATAATTTATATTACATTTTTCATAAACAATATTTTACAATATATATATACGCTCTTAATACATAATTATATGTTCTTTTCAAATCTAATTTCAACCTACAATTTTTTGAGTCAAAGCTGTTAATTAAAAACTCAAAATTTATGATAATTCTTATATCATACCAAAACTTTATTATCGACAAGAATCTACAATACTTTTTATTGACACACAATTAATATTTATTTAAAAAAACCAAAAAAAAATACATTATTTTCTTATAATATTGAGTGTTTAATATGATGTTAGGAATGTAAATTCACGTTAATTAGATAAAATTAATTTTAAAGGTTAGCCCGATTTTTAAAATATACAAAAAAGAAATATTAATTTATTTTATGTTTTGTTTTTTATTTTCATTTAATTGGATCTTTAATGATTTATCATTTAATTAATAACCACAATTATTTTAAGTAAATATTTATAATAAAAATATATAGAAATAAAAATATTTGTAGAAAAGAAAAAATAATATATCAAAAAAAAAAAACAAAAAAAAAACAGAAAACGGCTTAAATATAAAAATATTGTTTTAAATAAAATTTTATTAGATAATTTAAATTTAATATTAAATTTAATATTTTTTAGATAAATTATAATAAATGAATTTGTAATTTTAAATTAAATATTTATTGCAAAATAATAAATTAAATTAAAAAAAAATTATAAATACAGAAAATTCACAAGTGCTGAATAATTTTTTATTTTTATCAAGTTAAGAGTACGAGCTTTTTAAAGGGATTTTAAGTTAAACAATTATTGCAATTGTTATATATAGTTCCAGATTTTATTTCTGATTAAAAAAAAATATTTTTTATTGAATTTATTTTTTGAAATTGATATTTCTATTCTTTTAACATTAAAATTTCAAAAAAAGTGTAAATTTTTTATGTTAATACGATTTTTTTATTATAAATTATTTTAGTCATTATAATTATTAACGAGTTTTAAAGTCTTAAATTAAAAAATTTTAATTTACAGAATTCAAATTTATTTTGTGTAATTTTTGATTGATTAATATAATAAATTATAGAATACAAAATATAGTTTTCTATATTGAATTTTTACAACTAAACTCGAAATATTTGAAACAATAATTTTATCTAAAAAAATCAATTCAATTTTCTTTTTCTTAAATACTCAAATTATTCAGCTGTTTATGATTTTCTTATACATAATATATATATAAAGAAAACAAGTTATATACTTAAATAAAATTACTTAAAGTAAAATTAAAATTAATACAAAAGTTTACCTTTATATATAAATAAATTTTTTTTTGTTTGCACAATTTTATAGTACTAATTTTTCATTAAAAAAAATTATATATATATATATATATATATATATATATATATATATATGTTTATTAATAGAAAAAAAAAAATATAATTATAAAAAATTATAATTAATAATAATTTAAAGTTTTTTGCATAATAATATAGGGGTACTATAAACATATATTAATTAGTTAAAGTTTTATGTTAGATAAATAAAAAAATTTTAATCAAATTTATTTAATTAAAAGTGACGATAAAATAATTTTTATATAATTAAATATGTATATATATATATATATACATATATATAATTATATATATGTATATATATTTATATACATATACATATATATTAACAAAAAACCAATTGATAATAAAATTGCTTTGAAATAAATGACAAAGTTATTGAAATAAAAATAAAACTCGCGTTTTCAATTAATTTATGTTCGGAATACAATAAAAAAAAAAAATAGTCTTAGAGATAGTTTTGTTTAATTAATTTTTTTATTTGTAAATTATTTATATAGTTTATTTATTTTTTCTTTTAAGATTTTTTTTTTAAATATTGTGTGTCATAGAATCATAAATATCAGCGTTTGACATTAACTCATAATCTGTGCAATATCTCATAAACTCATACTACTTTTATTATGACTATATGAAAATACATCATTATCAATGTTTTTTTTTTTTTTTTCTAAATGTTATTGATGTTGTATAGCACACAATTTTTAATTATTTTAATGCTCTGCTTTTTTTAATTTTGAGCTTATTATTAAC